CACCTGGAGGATGGTGAGCCACGCAGCACGTGTCCCCGTGAAACTAACACGCGACGTTCAGCTGCGTCTCCGAGCCAAGCGGACCCCAGCGTCGGTCCGCGCTACTCGACGGGCACCCCTGCCGGTTGGCGCCGCCGACAATGGATCACACCCCGACCCACTGACGGCACTCCAGAGCGGAGCCCGCCGGCCACGCCGCCGCAGGCCAACACCGGCCGTGCCCGACGTCAACCGCGGCAAGCGCGTCACGGCCCGGCGCGTGAGCGGAACTGCTGCGCGCAAGCTGATGTGGCAGTGACCGCCATCCGACTCCAAGGCTGCAGACGTTCAGGCTCGAGCCGGCGGACGACCAGAGCTCAAGCCGCCGTCTCGCGGCGCGCTGTGGTGCCTCGTGACGCCTTGTGCTGCCTCACGACGCTTGCTGCCGTCTCGTGGCGTCCTGCACTGCCTCACGACGCTTGCTGCCGTCTCGTGGCGCCCTGTGCTGCCTCACGACGCTTGCTGCCGTCTCGTGGCGTCCTGCACTGCCTCACGACGCTTGCTGCCGTCTCGTGGCGTCCTGTACTGCCTCACGACGCTTGCTGCCGTCTCGTGGCGCCCTGTGCTGCCTCACGACGCTTGCTGCCGTCTCGTGGCGTCCCGTACTGCCTCACGACGCTTGCTGCCGTCTCGTGGCGCCCTGTGCTGCCTCACGACGCTTGCTGCCGTCTCGTGACGTCCTGTACTGCCTCACGACGCTTGCTGCCGTCTTGTGGCGCCCTGTGCTGCCTCACGACGCTTGCTGCCGTCTCGTGGCGTCCTGCACTGCCTCACGACGCTTGCTGCCGTCTCGTGGCGCCCTGTGCTGCCTCACGACGCTTGCTGCCGTCTCGTGGCGTCCTGTACTGCCTCACGACGCTTGCTGCCGTCTCATGACGCCCTGTCCTGCCTTATGACGCTTGCTGCCGTCTCGTGGCGCCCTGTCCTGCCTCATGGCGCTTGCTGCCGTCTCGTGGCGCCCTGCCCTGCCTCATAACGCTGGCTGCCGTCTCGTGGCGCCCTGTCCTGCCTCGTGACGCTTGCTGCCATCTCGTGGCGCCCTGTCCTGCCTCATGACGCTTGCTGCCGTCTCGTGGCGCCCTGTGCTGCCTCACGACGCTTGCTGCCGTCTCGTGGCGTCCTGTACTGCCTCATGACGCTTGCTGCCGTCTCGTGGCGTCCCGTACTGCCTCACGACGCTTGCTGCCGTCTCGTGGCGCCCTGTGCTGCCTCACGACGCTTGCTGCCGTCTCGTGGCGTCCTGTCCTGCCTCATGACGCTTGCTGCCGTCTCGTGGCGCCCTGCCCTGCCTCACGACGCTTGCTGCCGTCTCGTGGCGCTCTGTACTGCCCCGCGGCGCTCTACCCCACATCACGAGGCGTCCGCCACGGCGCCGCGCGCGTCTCCGCGGACCGGCGGGCGTGCCATCAGACACGTGGCGACCCCGATCTGTGCGGGCGGTCGAGCCGGACGCGTGTCTCCTGCCAGCAGGCACGGCTCTGGCACAGCGGGCCGGGTTTCCCGGCAGCGTAACGAAGGATATTGCGCGGCGATAAGGGCGAAATACAGCCAGCAGTGACGCACGATGGCAAAAAGCTGGACAGACAGCCTGACTTGAGGGAGGCGGGGGCATGGTGTGTAAATGCCCCATTCCTCAACTTATAACCATTGTCGCATACGCACAATATGTATTTCAGCAATTCGAGTATCTGAACCATCGGAACAGGAAACTTAACGCTTGCTTCATGTGACAAGTGGGAAGTGTCATGTGAGTGCAAAATAGGCAAAGGCAGAAGGTATAAAAAGGCACCCGAACATTTTCTGATAGCTGGCAACACTTTTAAGATAAGTAGTACAAATAGAGTGAAAATGCCTGACAGTGACGTAAAACAGTAGCAAATATCGGCTGGTACAAAAGGAGGCGTTTTGTGACAAATGTTGTCACAAATGCCATCAACTAAACTATTCCTCATTAACGTTCCGCTCGAGTTCCATCGAGTTCCATCGAGTTTCCGCTCACCGTCACTCCGTCGCCCCCTCCCCTTGCTACTGTCTGAGAAGTGCCGACACCACGCCAAGGACGCTGGGGGCGGTGCGGCGTGTGGTGGGGGGTCGGACGGAGCCGCAGGACGGCCGGGGGGCGGCGGGGAGTACCCGACACCAGGCTAACGCCGCACGGCCAGCGCAGTGCCGTGAGCTGGACTGACATCGGAGCGGAGCAGCTCGCCTGCAGACACGCCGAGCATGCGGGCACTCGGAGCGCGGACGTGGGAAGCGCCGCAATGGGAAAGGGTAGCGGTATACGTCGTGAATGGGCAATTATGCAGCGAAAGAGAGGCACAGACAGAGAGACGGAGTCAGAGACGAAGAAACAGAGAGCGAGAGAGGGGAAGAGAGAGCGAGAGAGGGGAAGGGGGAGGGAGAGAGAGAGGGAGATGGAGAGGGAGAAGAAAAGGGAGAGGGAGGGGAAATAGGGAGAGGGAGGGAGAGAAAAGAGAAAGAGAGAGGGGGAGAGGGAGAGGGAGGGAGAGGGAGAGAGAGAGAGGGAGAAGGGAAAGGGAGAGGGAGAGGAAGAAAGAGGAGGGAGGGAGGGAGGGAGGGAGGGAGGGAGGGAGGGAGTAAGAGAGGGAGGAGGAGGGAGAGAGGGAGGGGGAGGGAGAGAGAAAGAGGGAGAGGGAGAGGCACTGCTGAGACAACAGAGGCCCTGAACAGCCAAACATGTATAATAAGCCAGGAGAGCGATGTGGGGAGAACGCTACGCTCGGAATCACAACGATACTCGGCAAGGAACGTGATGTACTATTTAGCGCTGCATACTGAAATAGAAAGAACACCTGTGTAAATCGAGGGCATATCATAAACAATGAATTTTGAATGACGTTCAAGCATACAGCGTAAGGCCCATACCGTAGCACCACGTCAATAATAATAAAGTGACACGTTCTACTTAACGCGAATACTGCCGATGGAAATGTTCCAGACCCGATACTAGTAAAAAAGAGGTTCCTGGAAACAATGGCTCAAAAATGGCTCTTCCAAATGAAATATATCAGTTTCGGAAAAAAAACATGAGAGAATGATTTTAAAGTCAACTCGGATATTAGCTAGCTATGTTTAACTACATTCGGACCAAATCGTGTCATTTTCTATCCCATCTTTCACAGCATGAGGCCGACTTGGAAATAAGAACTACTATTGCGGCGTAATGATGCTGGTAACGGATTCATCACGCTGCACATCGCAATAACACAAAAATGTCCCTCAGGGGAACAGACCACACTTCCCTCCAGGCCACCACGGAGCCTGTGGTCGGTGGGCAACGCAATAACAACTACTAAACCGATGTGCCTGAATACGAAGTAACCAAAAACCTAGCTTGGCATAGTTAAGTAATCATAAAACAGCTTTCTACTGCATGGACCATTTTGGCGCTTTGGTATGTCGGACCGAGTCGTGACGAGGGGACGCCGCTACAGCCCCCCCCCCCCCCCCCGCTTTAGCCCAGACCTCCGCACAGAAGGCGGAGCTCGGGCCCGACTGGCAGCCGGAGCGGCCGCAGCGACACTCCGCCGGACGATGGCAGAGGTCAAATGTCACCATGTGGGTAGCGTGTGCAAGGACACGGGATTAACTAAAGAATTAGATGGGGGGGGGGGGATGCGAACAGAGCGTGGGTGTATGTGACGCCGGCGTACGCGCGGCAGCCCGGTCCATGTCCCTCGTCAGCAGACAGGTCACCACTTGCGCGGGGCCATTTCACTAAGCACTCGCCCTTCTTGTAGTGCTTTAGTCGGCTGTCAGGTAAGTATGGTGCCCTTGGGGGCTCCGCGTCTGCGACTGACACCACATGGTGTGCGGACTTCACTTAATTATCAGGAAGTGTTCCGGCTAAGTGATTCAGCCTCGCAGAGAATGACGTCATGGTCACTTGTTCTATCGTTAAGTTTGGCTTCCGAAACTCTCCACTCACGACGAAATTACGCATCGATTTAAAATGTGCGCATACGACTTGCAGGATCATTCAACATAGGCCAGCTTGGAGGTAATGACGAAGGGCTTTGATACAAATATCAACAGCTGCAGTCTAAGATGACGAAATGACTGTACACTGCATTCGCATACCACCACAGTCCAGGGCGTTTTCCGTCGGCGCTACGTGAAAAGCACCGTGTGGCAGACATGGATGAGTCGGATTAAAGTGCCCGCTTTCGTACAGCACGGGCGCCGTGACTTCCTTATTCCCGCGCTGACTTTTAAGCGAATTAATGATTCCGGAACTGCAATGGCCCTGTTGTTGTTGCCGCCGCATAAAGGCCGCACTTCGCTGACGCGCGCCACGCATACAAACGATTCCCAAATATAGCTCCATTTAAAAACTTCCGTGCGAAGGGGCCATGCCATTTCCGGCTCGCTGTTCCATCTCAACCACTCGGTGGTCGACTGCTGCACCGTGTTTTCCGTCGCTACAAGGCCGCTGGCAGCTGATAACGTGTATCAGAACACTTTGAGCCCCGATTGATTCGGAGTGCACGCGCGGCCGATACGCCGGCCCGAGTGGACAGACGCGCCACTTCTTGTCGTCCGGGCTGACCGCACCGTCGCCGGGAGCGCGGCCACGACACGCCAGCGGCCTCCAGCCGGGGCCGAGCAGCGCGGCACGGCGCGGTACCGCGGTCAGCGGCGCGTTACATGGGCGCTGTGTACGCAGACAGCCGGATGGCCCCGAAACTGACCGTTCGTGAGCATTAGGGTCACTGACGGATCAGAGCGTCAGGCCACTGCGTCCCGTGAAAAGTGGACCCCGCAGCAGATCCGAATGTTCAGGCGGGGCCACGCGGATCATTTGTGAGGCTTGCGGATTCCGGCGGAATGCGAACCCCGTTATTTTCGTTCACCCTCTCACGCACTGCACTCGCAGTAACCCCGTTCACCTTCTCACCGCCGTCCACTCCTCCCGCAATACTCAGCCCTGGGCCACTCACCTTCTTCCACATCGTTGCGGGCGGCCGCCTCTAGAAGCACCACGCCGTCGACGAAGTGGATGCGGCCGTCCAGCTGGCGCCGCCGCTGGCCGCGGTTCTCCTCACTCTTGCGCCGCTTGCTGGTCCACTCCTTCTCACGCGCCAAGAAGAGGCGCAGCTGCTCTTTGCGCCGCTTGCGCGCCAGCTTCAGCCGCTCCTGCGTGGTCAGCTGCTCGACCAACGTCATCTCACGCACCAGCTCGTCGTGCTCCATGACGGCGGCGCGCGCCACCATCGCTGCCCGCGCGCGTGCTCCCTCTCAGGCGCGGCCGACGACTGGGCGCCGCCGAGCGCCGCCGCGGCACGACGCAAGGCACGACGCAAGGCACATGGGCGGGGCCGGCGCCGCGGCCGCTACATCACAGCCTGTCGACGGGAGAACGGGGGCGTCAGTGGCCGGTGACCCCCGGAGGCTGGGGCGTTAGTGGCCGGTGACCACCGGGGGATGGGGCGTCGGTAGCCGGTTACCACCGGGGGATGGGGCGTCAGTGGCCGGTGACCACCGGGGGATAGGGCGTCAGTGGCCGGTGACCACCGGGGGATGGGGCGTCAGTGGCCGGTGACCACCGGGGGATGGGGCGTCAGTGGTTGGTGACTACCGGGGGATGGGGCGTCGGTGGCCGGTGACCACCGGGGGATGGGGCGTCGGTAGCCGGTGACCACCGGGGGATGGGGCGTCAGTGGCCGGTGACCACCGGGAGATGGGGCGTCAGTGGCCGGTGACCACCGGGGGACGGGGCGTCAGTGGCCGGTGACTACCGGGGGATGGGGCGTCAGTGGCTGGTGACGGGCGTCAGTGGTCCGTGACCACCGGGGGATGGGACGTCAGTAGCCGGTGACCACCGGGGATGAGGCGTCAGCGGCCGGTGACCACCGGGGATGGGGCATCAGTGGCCGGTGACGGGCGTCAGCGGTCGGTGACAACTGGGGGATGGGACGTCAGTGGCCAGTGACCACCGGGGATGGGACGTCAGTGACCGGTGACGGGCGTCAGTGGCCGGTGACCACCGGCGATGGGACGTCAGTGGCCAGTGACCACCGGGGATGAGGCGTCAGCGGCCGGTGACCATCGGGGATGGGGCGTCAGTGACCGGTGACCACCGGGGGATGGGGCTTCAGTGGCCGGTGACCACCGGAGGATGGGATGCCGGTGGCCGGTGACCACCGGGGGATGGGATGTCGGTGGCCGGTGACGGGCGTCAGTGGTCGATGACCACCGGGGGATGGGACGTCAGTGGCCAGTGACCACCGGGTATGAGGCGTCAGCGGCTGGTTACCATCGGGGATGGGACGTCATTTGCCGGTGACCACCGGAGGATGGGGCGTCAGTGGTCGGTGACCACCGGGGGATGGACCGTCAATGCTCGTTGACCACCATGGGATGGGGCGTCAGTGACCGGTGACCACCGGGGGATGGGGCGTCAGCGCCCGGTGACCACCGGGGATGAGGCGTCAGCGGCCGGTGACCATCGGGGATGGGGCGTCAGTGACCGGTGAGCACCGGGGGATGGGGTGTCAGTGGCCGGTGAGCACCGGGGGATGGGGTGTCAGTGGCCGGTGACCACCGGGGGATGGGGCGTCAGCGGCCGGTGACCACCGGGGATGAGGCGTCAGCGGCCGGTGACCATCGGGGATGGGGCGTCAGTGGCCGGTGACCACCGGGGGATGGGGCGTCAGTGGCCGGTGACCATCGCGGATGGGGCGTCAGTGGCCGGCGACCACCGGGGGATGGGGTGTCAGTGGCCGGTGACCACAGAAAACGACACGTCAGCGGCAGGATGAGGAATGTCAACCACTTGCAGCCGCCCGGATGACCAAAGGCCTGAAAACGTGACGGAAAGCAAACGAGAAGCATGAGTCGTCACCCGACAAGGAGGACAGCCCACGGTGCGCACCTTCCGCACCTCACAAATCCACCCCAGCGGCGCTCAACGGCTGGCGCAACCCGGTTCAGCCGATGGGTGGCAACACCCCGGCCACCCGACTCGCGCGTGCTCCCATCGCTGCCGCCGCCTCATCCTCCGCGCCGCTGACGCCGCAGCGGCGACACCGACGGCGGCCGGTCTCAATACGACGGGCCCGCATCGCCGCTGTCGCAGCCGGTGAGGCGTTCACGAATGCTGGACGGGGAGCTGCTGCGTCGCACCAACCGAGCGAGCCGCTGTCGATCCGCGCCTGGTGCGAGATTGAGCCATCAATCGCCCCTTCCACTCCGGGTCAGCAACCGCCGGTCCTCAGGCCGGACCGCGCAGCACGACACCGAGTCCGGGCAGTTCGGACCACCGGCGCCCTCAGGTCGGAGCGCGCAGCACGGCACCGAGTCCGGACAGTTCGGACCACCGGCGCCCTCGGGTCGGAGCGCGCAGCACGGCACTGAGTCCGAACAGTTCGGACCACCGGCGCCCTCGGGCTGGACCGCGCAGCACGACACCGAGTCCGCACCGCCGGCGGCCAGCGGCGACCAATCGATGTCTCAGCCGCCGTCGCCTCAGGCTCGCTAATTGTTCATTAGCGGGCGGCGGTGGCGGCGGCGCCGGAGACGGCGGCGCCGGCCCGTAATGAACTGTTCGGCCCCTACGGCCGCCGAGCGGGGCCCGGCGGGCACCGGATCGGGTCCCGATGGCGCTGATGACGTGGGAAGTGGGCGAGGCGATGAGGGCGTCACCCACGCACTTGGGAAACGACGTCACACTGGTATGTGTATTTGCCGCGCGTATCGCCAAGCTGGCGCATAAGAATGGCACGGACTTCCCTGCGTTTGCCTGTTTCGTAAAGCCACCACAGTAACACGCGATGCGCTAGTCTTACGGAACTAGCGGTATTCAACAGACGTATGCATCCTCATATCCATGACACTGAAATAGACATGAACATGGAGTTTTGACGAGCGTCATGAGCTTTGCTCTGTGAAAATGTCAACACGACTTCATCACTCGGATGTCACCCGCATCTCACTTCAACTGGTCAAAAGCCAAATGTCATTGTTGCTGAGTTACACTCATGAATAAAAGGCTGCGCTAGTGAGTAAATATTGCTAATATCATGAGCAGAAATAATCCAGACGGAAGGATGATGGGACAAACGGCTCGAAGCGGTATTACGAACCGCTGCTTTACATTCCCGAACACAGCCAATGGGGTTGAGCTCGGAAATCCGCCGGAAAAGGCTTTTGCTTTCCTCCGATCCTTGCCGGAAAGAGTACCGTAGTTGCCAATGACTCCAACACGAAACCCTACTGTGGGTCGCAGAGGATCACGCCAACAATATGTAGGTACACTTTTCTGGAACCGTCTCGGTCCATTTTCATTCCCAGAACGCAAACAGAACGCAGACATGGGACAAACAGCCCCGTGAAAAACAAGAGCCTCGCGGAATGGGCCGACCATAATCACCACACGAAACAACAGGCAAAAAAGTCAGCGGGGAGCAGTCTAAGATCCGGCAGCCTTTTGCGAAGCCCATCGTCCGCTTGCGCACATTGCGACTCAGGAAACGTCCCCTCCCCCACCCCACGTACCCACCCACGCACCGCCAGACACACGCGCTGAGGCGACGCAGTTGTCGTCCCGGGCGATACACCCGAAAGGAAGGTCAGGCCGCGAGAAAAAGCAATGACATCTTGCCCTTCCGCCCGCAGACGGGAGCTGGGTCAGTTAGCATCACTTCAGCGGCCAGCCACGGGCCGGGCCGGCCGAGGGGAAAGGTCAGCCCCGCGGGGACCTCACGACTGTGGTCAGCCCGGCTTCGCGGGGGCCCGTCCGCCGAGACGCGGACGGCCGTGTCGCGCGCGGCTCGAGGCCGCACGCTCCACAGGTCGGGCTCCCAACAGACCGCGAGAGGAGGGTACCGCCGCCTAACTTGCTGACCGTGGCGGGCCGCCAGCCGACCGAGCCCGGCCCCCACTAAGGTCACGGTGGAGTTAGAACCTAAATTTGCTCGGCCAACGGACAGGCGCGTCGAGGGACCGGCCCTCAGAGAGCGGACCGCCCCAGGTAGACTGCCGAGTTACCATGATCGGCCGGCGCCGCTGCCGCCGCGTGTCACAACCACGCGCACCGGGGATCGGGGGGCCGACCGTGGGGCCTTGGCACGGCAATGTGTCGACAGCGAGCTGCTGGGGACCTCGCACTCATCCGCACCCTGACGGAGGGGTGCGCACGCGTCCGTCGTAGGAGCTCTTCATGTGCACAATTGGGAGCCGGGCGGACGGGTGTGCTACAAAAACTGGCGTGAGGGCGACGGCGCATCTCGGAGAAACAAAGCGTCATATTCACGCGGATGGCGGGCGTGCTAGTGCCCATAGCGATATTACCTGCAGCTGAAATTACCCGCAGGCCTAAAAGACCAGCGACGACACTGGCGACGTTCACTAATGTAAAACACCATTCTTCTTTTACACTGCCAATCCTATCAAACTACACCCCGCGCCCAATCACCGGGAGCGAGTTCGGGCGTTTGCGAGGTGTTCGGGGCGCGCACCGCGGACACGAACGTCGAGTCAAAAACCCGGCAACGAAACAAAGTACTCACCAGCACATCAAGCATAGCTCCGGGCGACCGAACGCCCAGCCGAGCACCCAACGCACCACTGCGAGCACTGGGAGAACGCACCCGACCACCACTGCGTTCACAGGCCGGAGCAAGCGGCCGATCGGCGCGACAGGGGAGCTTGGCCACCCGCCGGCCCGCACCTGCCCCGTGACTCAGCAGCGGGAGGCTCGGCCGTCCACCGTCCGCCTTCCGACCGCAGCCATGAGTCAGCCAGCCCTGAGCCGACGCCAGCCTTTCACGAGTCGGTCCGGCTCCAAGCCGTTAGAGGTCCCCGGCCGGGCCCGCGCGAACCGCAGCCGCGACCCTCCCGCCGGCCGGATCACCGCGTCACGAGCCAGCCGGCCAGTTAGAAAGCACCATGCCATGCGCATCCGGTCCCATTGCGCCCAATCTAACACGACGGACATATGAACGCGTGTTTGACGGTGAGCTGCATCCCATAACGCACCATAATCCAGTAGAAAGAGAATGTTGAGTACGTTTAAAACGATTTTACGTCGGAGGCTTTCGAACGCGCCGGCAGCTTCGGTCATTTGGCAACGATTTAACATCGTGTACGCATTTTGACTGGGGCGCTAAGTAGCCCATAGGTTAGGAAACCATGACTGTAAGCATTCAAAAACTTGCAACAGCTCGCCCGCGCCCCCCCCCCCCCCCCCCCCACACACACACCCAGCCCGCTGCGCCAGCACCGAGCTCCGCCGGCCCGGGCCGGGCCGGGTCAGTGGCCGGTGGCTATGGGAGTCAGTGGCCGGTGGGGGGGCCGCCCCCCCCGCCAGCCGGCACCGGGCGGCGGCAACACGGGGATCGAGGGCCCGCCGACGACCTGGCAGCGGACGTCCCAGTTTACCGGGGCGTCGTTCGTGTGAGAAGCACAAGGCTATGCCGCGGCTGCTAACGCAGTTGACGGCAACCTACATGTGAAGGCTGCTGGTGCGCCACACTTAACCTAGCCAAACACACTTTGACATTTAGGTAACTCCATTATACATCGAACCGGGGTACAAAGTTTCTTTGTCCATTAAACCATTTTCATCACGCAACGTCACATGACTGACGTTGAGTTTTACCAACGTTTTAACATCGGTAAAACTCAGCGTCTCACCTACGTTAATGCCTTCTCCCTGTTCCTACGTTACTGCACAGAGCCACACAACGCAGACGGCCGACGGCAGCACGAAGTAGAGCGAACCCCGCTCTTAAGGAAGACTGCGTCACGGCGCCACCCACCGGTCTCAGCCGTGAGCGGGCCTGCACGGCGCGTGGGCGCGTCGCGGGCGAGCTCTCCCACGCGTGCGGCCCGTCGACACGACTCGGAGCGCGCCGGCCCAGATGCGGAGCCCGGACGCCGCGTGCTCGGGTCGACGCCACGCCGGCCAGTGGGCCGGCTAATCGCGCCCCGCTCCTGGCCGATTATCTGCGGCGGACTTTCGCTCCACCGATAGCGACTCCGGCGGAGACCGGCGGAGTGCGGGGCGGACCGGACCGGGCCGGGGCCGCCGGGCGAGGCGGCCACTCCCGTCAGACGCACGCAAACGCCCCAAGAGTGCGCGAAACAAACTCAGTTTTTAAGCGACTCTTTCCGTGCGAAATCGTACAGTTCGTGGTAACGCTTCGCGTAGAGTGGACGGATCACACACACACCCTCCCCTCCCTCCTACGCACGTGAGTTCCACCGCCTCGTGTTAGTTTTTGTATCGGCACGCACGCGCGGGGACGGCACGGCCGCCAGCCCAGCTCACGCGTACCACCACAGACCAACGGATGAAACGCCGCCTTAATGCCCGCATCTGCCAGCACTGCATGGACATGCGGCCACAGGATTGCATGACGGCACCAGTGTGACGATGCACTTTTAAGCTCAACCGGAGCAGCAGCGACCACTGACTTAATCGCGCTGAACTCACAAAAAGGGATGTGCGAACGGCGCCTTGGTTCGACATGAGCGAATCCTGACCCATCTAAAGAATACACTGACCCCAGCGGCGGCATGTCGCCGTAACAGCAGGCGGCGTGCTCCTCGCTCCAAGCCATGGGTGGCGGCAACAGGAACGCGATCCCGTAAACACGACTGCTGGGACGACCTTGGAGTCAGAATTCCAACGGCCGGGACGCTGATCGTCTGACAGCGGAAGGCTACGCGCCGCGCAGCCTTCAGTGCTGCTCGGCGACGCTCATCGTCGCCGCCCAGCTCGACGGCCCTTCGCGTCCCTCTCATTAGCGCTTACCACGAGTCCCCCGAGCCGCACCCCCTCTCCCCCCCCCCCCCCCCACACACACCCAGCAGCAACGCCGGTCAATCCGCATCGGCTGCCAAGAACGGCGCCGGGCCCCCTTCCGGCGGCCTCTCGCAGCTCCAGCCCGGCGTGTCAGTCCACCCCGAGCCGAACCGGGTCGCCGGGTCAGGGCAGCGTCGCACCGTGACGCGCGCGGCCGGCGCCGTCGCCGGCGTGCCACCCCGAGTCTGGCCAGCGGGTGCCACACGGTACACGAGCACCAGAGCCGACCGCGAGCCGTTCCAGCCGGCGGGCGCCCGTCAACCTGGTGCGCTCCTGGACGACGGCAGCGGCGGCGGTGCGGGCCGCTCGACAGTTACCCCGGCAAGGCCCTGGTGACGGCTGACCGAGTCAGCCCGGCGCCCACTGGCGTCCCTCGCCGCGGCTGACCTGGCCCGCCGCCGGGCCGGACGAGCGCCGGCTGGTCCGGCTGCGGACGGCGGCCCCCGATGCCAGCGGGAGGAGCCGCCCCGTGAGGACGTGCCGACCGTGCGCCGGCCGATACGACCGTCGCTCATTAGCGGGCGATGGCTGGGCCGCCAGCACAAACACGGCGCCCGCGATAGCCGCCGTGCGCGACGGCCTGGCGCCGGCCGCCGCCGTCGGATCGGTGCACCGGGCGGCGCACGGCCGGAAGGGACGCGTCGTGCGCGCGCTAGGAACGCGCGCTTCTCCGCGGGCCACGGCGCGAAATTGATGACCGGTGGAGACGCAACGGACTTCCTCGTGATCCGTGGGTCGGACCACACTGCGGGGTGTGTGCGTGGGGGGGAGGAGGGGGAGGGGGGGGGAGACTGAACGGCGGACTGCTAGGGCTTCCTGGATATTACGAGACGAGCCGCTCCAACCGCAGCTTACAGAACACCCCTTGCGTTCATTTTCACAGACGCTGGCAGAGCTTCCTGGTGTATCGGAGAAGCCAGCTTAATGTGACGCACATTTTCGGAACATCGGCAGTGCCTTGAGCAGGTTGATGGGCCTATCGCGTGGATCAGGCTGCTCTTGGTGTAAAACTCCCGCCCCAGGGTGCACGGAACTTTGGTAACGTTAGACACAGCAGGGGACAAGTTCACGAAATGACCTCAAGGTACGGTAGGCCTGGTGGCAATGACGAGTCTAAACCGGTTTTAGTCCGCTCGGATGCTTTCATCCGTGCATCTGCGGCAGTACGACACCCCCAGCCATCCGCTGACGGAACTGACGGTGTTTAAGTCACGCGAACCACATCGTCGTATCATATCTAAAGAGCCGCTTAACCCCATTCAATGCGAGCCACTACCGCGGTGCTCGACGCGAGCCCGACGTACTCGGACCAGAATCCCGATGGCTTCAGCGGGATATCAAGCTTCATGAATCGCGGCTGTCCAGAAAGCATGAGTCCGTACAGAACAGAGAACAGCACCACTGGACCACAAAGGACAATGACGGATCTCCGCCCTGGTGGACTGGGGTAGCTTGATGTCCGGATACGGCAGATGTCCTGTTCATCAGGCGTAAGTTGGGCAGAGCAAACCGTAGTTCGTAGGCCTTAGTGCCGTACCAGAAATGTATTGCACTGGATACTCGGTTCAAGGAGGGCTGCACAGAAATGACGGCAGAAAAACTGCGTGCGCAATGTCGCAGCACATATGCCGATACATCAAAAGTGGTTCCCTTCCTCCCTGCTTCCCCAGTCTCGGTGGGTCAGGGGCCGTGGTCCGAAGACTGGGGGTTCACTCCCACAGCGTGCCTCTAGCCCCTCGCAACAGAGGGCGCCACCCTGACCGGTCGGCGTCCGTCGCGCCGACACGGGGCGACCGTCGCCCGATCGCGTGGGAGGCCGGCAACTGACCCATTCATCAGGCGCGACGCCACGGCGCTGCCACCGCGGAAAACCGCGCCCGCGGGTCGCATAACGGCGCGAAGCCAGGCGCCGGCGCCGCCGGACCATGGCGCGCTGGCGAGAACGACGGGCGAGGGGACGGCCGCGGGCGCAAGGCGTGTTGTATCAGCATCAGCTGGGGAACGACGCACGTGTCGCGACGGATCGCAACTGAAATACTGCTGGAGCTATTGAGTCCAACTGTAGTGGACCGAGTGAGACTGAATCTTACAACAGACCCCCCTATGCCAATCCCAATCTTACAACAGACTATACATGATGAAGGCTGCCTGATCCTACAGGATGCTACATGCTGGATTGGTCAAATGCAAAAATTTAAAACTAAGAATATTGTGGAACTATCCTACCGACCATGAGAATGGTGAATATTATGAAACCAGAACATTACAGGCACATATGCTGAGAATAGTGAACATTATGAAAGCCAAACATAACAGGTGCCTTTACAAATTGGTATGTGGTGAATGAATCTGGCATTCCAACACTGGTGGTGGTTATAATTTTGTCAAACATAAATCACTGCTACCACAAATGACCACAGCATTGATGTAGTACATTGCATTGCTGTATATAGCAGCACCTATGAGTGTTGTACATGACATTGCATATCCTGTATTTTGTAGTGCATGCCTCAGCCACCATTTCTTATCACATTAGGTTCCAAACATGTGTGACAATTTTTGCTGTAACCAGTTAAAACAAAGTTGCTGAGAATGAAAAAACCTGCAACATGTCACACTGAATGGACTAGTTAGTTGTATCAGCAATTTATAGCCACAATCAGCCTTTAAAGCACTCAAGTCATGTATATCAGAGAGGCTGCCGCCATGCACAGTGCGAGCTGTAAGTTTACATGTTTTGCTAGCATGACTTATGCAGAAAAATATCATCATTCTAAATCATATTCAGTATAGGATGAATATTGATGTTTCATTACATTCAGTTAAAATATTGCATTATTTGCAATTTTTAGTAGTATAGTGCCTTTTTTGGTCTTTGGCCAAACATTGGTATGCGACAAAGCCAAAATTATGACAACTCCCACTGAACTTCAATGCATATTTCACATAGATGCTAGTTTTTTAAATGAAAGACCCCTATTAAGGCACTTGCAATTTCAATCACCATTTTAAATCACTAAAATGGGGTGGTGATCACTTGTCCAATGCATTCTCCCTTGCAGGATGACCCTTCTCCCTTCAATGTCACCACACCCTCATACAATGACACAAGTAATCACATACCTAGGTGCTGCCATTCACTACAGTCTGCAATCATATATTTCATGCAGGATCAATACAGTTCCCTGACAATGAGTGAGCAGGTTATGAACTGACAATGAGGCTCCCAATTGTTTTTGAAATTGCAATCGAAATAAAACAGACCACCAGTAAATGGCCTTCCAAACAGCATCAACGACCCACGGAAAAGCTGGAAGGGCAGTGAGGTAAGCAGGTACATACCGTTGCTGGGTGCAGCATAGCACGATACTGAGTCATAAAACTTGGAGAGAAAACACCGCCGGAAATGAATAGGTTAAAGGCCTTTGGAGGTGAGTTTGGTTGATAAACCATTGATGCTGATGAATGGACGGATTCGATCCCTATCGCCAGCAAAGCATAAACGCAATAAAACGCAAAACAAATACCAGCAAAGTACCGCCTCCACCAATTTCTAGCTACATATGCAGGCAGATAGCGTTGGGTGCAAGATAACTGGGGCGCCCCATAGGAAGAAGTTTATTTCAGTGGAATAAATTTGTTTACAAGAAAAAATTCGTGGCCCGAGCGAAAACAAGTAATAAAACGCTGGGTTTCAGGGCGAGTGGCGGGATGATTTCTTTCCTTTTTGAACATAAGGCAAGAGGTTTTTAAAAAATAGCTACCCAGTCGTGGTGTGTGCCGTGCCTGCATTGCAATAAGCAACATCATCAACCGGAGGTAGGGACTAAACGACCGACAAAACCTGTTGCAACCCCAACAACCCTTGCTGACAACCTTAGACTCCGGGGTCTCCTTAACATGTGGCCACAGTTGTGGTTAGACCCCAGGCTCCGAGCCTATGGGAGTGAGCACCACCAAACCTTCACAATTCGAAGCCACTTGGCCGTTAACGTATCCTTCTAAACAGATGTTCGTGAAGTTGGCGATTTGTGCAGCGATTTATTTAGCGACGCGCTCCAATTTCTCTGAAAACACGCCGTATGGCCAAATATGGCTCGAGCACTTTGCAAATGACGACTATTTTGCAATACCGTGTGCCCTTCAGGGTGACAAGCGACATCAAAGGACGGGAGACTCCATGCCACCCAAAAATTACCGACCGATTTTAACTTTGCAAGCATGAAGATATTCACAAGCGTAAGAACTAGCGTCTGTTGGGAACACCTGGCCTCTTGAGGTTACCATTCAAGGCCAAGCTCAGGCTCAGTAGACGGGGAAGTGCACATCAACAAAAAATTACCGGCCGATTTTTAACTTCCAAGGACCAGAATGTTCACCACAGAGCGAAATAGCGTCCGTCAAAGCCCAGCCCTCTCGAGGTTACCCTTCCAGGTTTAACTCAGGCTCTAACGACGGGTGACTCCGTATCGCCAAAAAATAATAACGGCCGGTTTGGACTTTTTGAGCAACAGGATATCCACCAGTTGCGTCCTATAAAGACTAGCGTCCGATAAAGACTACTGACTTCTCAAGATCACCTTATCAAGGTCATACGTAGACTCAGATGACGAGGGATTCCATATTACAAAAATACTGGCCGATTTTTAAGTTGTCAACATCAAAATACTCACAAGCGAAGGAATATATCCGTTCGGAACTGCTGACCTCTCAAGCAGTAGTTCAGGCAGGGGGCACAGGTGACACATGCCCCCTCCCCCCTTAGGTTCTGAGGGGCCCTCGGACCCCTCGGTACCTGCGATTACGGGCCCGATTTGAGGGCCTGAAGGGATCGAAAAGCTAGTCGGAGGCCTCATTCAGGGGCCACGGCCCGCAGGGCCGGCCACCCCAATGCCAGCCAGAGGGCCCTGCGCGCTGACCATGGGCCCACTTCGTCGTTAAGGGCCTACATTTCGGCCAGACTCCACGAGTAATTCAAAGTTGGCTCCGAGGCGGCATGGGCCGCCTGAGGGCCCATTTCCCAAGATAGCAAACCCGGAGCCAGCGAATTACATTCCTCGGAGCCCCACAGCGCCTAACAGAGGCCCTCTGTTGTCAAGGGATCCAAGTCGGCCGGAGGCAGTATTCGAGGAACCCGAAGAGCCTAGGGATCAATGGGTCCGACGATCAAGGGCCCGACTGGACGGTCTAAGGGCATAAAGGGGAGGTCAGAGTCTTATTCAGGGGCCCCGACCTGCGAAGACGGACCCTCAAATAACGGTCAGAAGGCCCTTTACGCCGATAGGGAACCCCCTGAGTCGATATGGGCTTATATGTTGGCCAGGCACTACCAGTACCGCACAGTCGGCTCCGTGTCGGTATGGGCCTGAGGGCCCACTTACCCATCAGCTACAAAGCCTGTGCCATTGATTTGCACTGGTCGGAGCTTCTGGTCTGAGCCTACAGTCTCTAACAGAGGGTCCTGTGCTCGCAAGGCGCCCCGCGCCGACCAAGAGCAGTGTTTGATGAGGCCCGCGGAGGTGCTCGGGCGGCCCACCGAAACCGACGATCAAAGGCCCAGTTGGAGGACATAACGACCCAAAGGACTGGTTGTAGATACGTAGAGAATCGCGACCCGCAAGGAAGTGACCTGAAATAGCAGTCAGTGGTCCTTTTGCAACGTAGCGGAAACGGGGCCGGGGTCCCTGACACAGTGACCTGACACACTGTGTAACCAAACCTCCTGTGTCGGTTAGGTGTCACAGTGCCGAGCAGGGGTCCTGTGGTGGCAAGTGGCCCCGAGTCGGAGCGGTGTTTGAGGGGGCCCGAAAAAAGGTCGAAGTTTCCCTCGAGATCAAAGATCAAGGGCCCGATAGGATGGCTGAGCTGTCCGAACGGCTGGATTTGGGACAGGGCCGTGATCTGAAATGTTAGTAAAATGGTCTCTTGCACCGATAGGGACCGCTGAGACAGAGCGTTCATCTGTTTCGACCAGACATCACAGACAACGAGCAATGGGCTCCGTGTTTTTCTGAGCTCTGGGGGCCCATTCCTCAAGCAGGGACAAGGCCGGGCACGCAATTCACATTGGTCGGGCTCCTGTATTGTTTAGGGGCTTACAGTGTCTAACGGGCCATTCTGTGTCAATAAGAAGCCTCTATTCGGTCAGGGAAGATTTGCTCAGCAGGAACGGGGAGGGGAGCCGGAGTGGCAGAGGGTCTCTTGCGTTAGTCGGGGCCCTCTGACAATCAAGGGAAACATAAGAACTTATGAGTGCTCAAACTGAGGTATTAGAACAGTCCTTTGCCAGTCAGGCCCCCCCCCCCCCCCCAAGTACCGAACGGTGGGCGCTCCAACCCTATTCCAGTATGGGTCCGACAAGCCCAGCTAGGGTCTATGTGTCAATTATTTGGCCACCTGCGGCGAACAGGGATCTTGTTGCGTTAATGACGGTTTATGCGTCGATCCGGGGTCAATTGCGCGGGTCAGAAGGCTTCCCACGTCAGGGAGCGGACGAATGAGATGTGATGAATCCCTTTAAGGCCCTCCGGATCGGCCAGGGGATACCGTCCTGTGTCACCAGAAGGGCGGCCAGAAAAACACGCCGCGGTTGGACAGAATGGCTCCACAGCCCTTGGACGGGAACAACAATGTGCCCCATAATGTTGCACTTAAGAGGGACCCTGCACCGGAAAGGGGTCTCATTAGCGTTGAATGGAGTGGGACGAAATGAGCTCAAAATGCGCAAGGCCATTCCATGCTTCCCTGAGCACTTCCATTAATTTGCAGAATTGACTAGTGAAATCAACACCATCAAAAGGCTTGAGCGTGCGCGCCGGGTGCCGCAAGTGTAATGGTTAACGCGCCTGCGTTAACGCGCCTGCTTTAACCACGGCACGTCTGGGAAACCAGAGGTACAGGGTTCAATTCCCGCGGTGCCCGCCCTTCCCGCCAGAGTGAGAGGCCGGCGGCGCCATATAGTTCCAGCAGCTGAGTGCGTCATAAAGCCCCAGCGGCATGCCCGTAATCTCGGTTAGCAAGGATAGCCATGGCTCTCATCGCACTTTTCGCAAAACCGAACGGCGTTGGCCACTGCAAATAACGCCAGGGGGCGGGTCCCGAGCGCGCAACAATGACCATAGTAAAAAATGTTTCTCAACGTCTTTCAACATTAATTCGTGCAGGTCAAAAATTACACTGGGCGAAACTTTCTTACAACTTAAAGGATGTCCTATGGACAATCTAACAGTTATAGAAACACGGAAAGTAAAGATTTTACCTTACTCTTCCAGTTCCACGGCCAGATTCCAGCACCACTTCGCGGTGCTGTAAAGGACAATGCGTTATTGTCATCAATCTAAAAACCGTGAAGGTGAAATATGCGCCCGGAGTATCTCTAAATGTAAGGTTTGGTGTTCAAAAGCGTTCACAGCTATTTTTTTCAGAGCGGCACCATTTTCGTCCGCCTGTTGGCCACAGCTTTACGTTAGCCACAAAGCAGACCCTGCACAGCCTATGGAAACTGCAAAGCCTGGCGTCGAGTTTTTGTTTCCAAGATATGCGAGCGCGGATGCTCAAAACTGCGTTACATAATTTGTGCCACTAATCGATTCTGACTAAATATTGAACATATCCAGGCAAGCATGGCTTGCCAATTTTAATGCAAATTGTCGACCCATTTTTATATTTAATCTACATTCGCGGGGTCCTACAACCAGATAACAATTCTGACGAAATGTATAAGTTCTGTCCGTTTAAGAGTCCACTGGACCATTGTTAAATGAAGAACGCTGGCAATTTATTCCATGCAGTCATTCAACGCATGATTTTGTTAGTATATTTAGTGCAAACTTAAGGCTGAATTGATCTCTCGGTAGCGTCTGACATTTATTCCAGTTAAAGACAGTAAAATTTTGTAATATATATATATATATATATATATATATATATATATATATATATATATATATATATATAAGAAAAACATGTCCTCAATAATAAATGGACCACATCCAGCGATTTTGTGAACCATTTTAATGTCAGGGGCCTTTTATTCACGCTGTGCCCTCCCCTTTGGCAAAGCTTGATATATTTGTCCACAATATATGTGATCATCACATCCCAGCTATACGCAGGTTCTCCACATACCAAAATTTCGCCAATAAGACACGCGCAGCTTAGCAGTCAACAATCATGCAGCCGGCATATGCGGTTTATACATATACAGCTTAAAACATATGCAGTTAAACATATCAATGCTAACGAATTCATGCAAATTGTTGTTGATGCTGATTCCACGCGTCATTTAAAAACATGGTCTTCAACCTTTCTCCAAATATGCTGAGACAGATACCCTTCTGTTGAGAATTCCTTTCACCGCTCTTTTCAATAAACACTAAGTACGAGCCAGCTTCACGTCTGGGGACACTATTCCAAGCTGTTGTGCCTCTGAAGGGACAGCGACCCTCACCCGTCTCCTAATGAACGTGTGAAAAATGAAAACCCATCATATCAATGTCATGCCAACGCAGGTTGATTGAAGCAGCGTAGCTAATTGAGCTGGCTCTTCGGTTACCATGCGATTATACTTACGCACG